CCAGCAGCACCAGCACACCAACAACTTGATAGGAGAACAGTTTAAACTCCCCATCTTTGATCAACACATGTTTCCTCTTTGGTGAACTATTCAAGCATTTTACCTACTCAGTCATCAAGGTCTTCGTGCTTTTTATTTATCATTGTAAGAATGCTATACGTGTTGAATATGGTAATCTTTTGTCTGCCTTGTTTGTTGTAGACATTTCCCTTGTTTGCTTTCTAGAATTTGGCTGTTTTGATACACTGACATTTCACATTCTTTTCCAGCCCCTTTCCCCTGTTCTTCTTGACCACGATGTGCAGGGGTGCTGGTCAGGCCCTTCTTTTCTCACCCTTTCTGCTGGTGACCCCACTACGTGCCTGAATCGTCATTGACAGGGAGCTGCCTCTCCAGCCTGGAACACACTCAGGTTTCAGCCCCCCGCAGGCGACGGACCGGGGGCGCGCTCTGTCCCCAGGACAGCTCTATTCAGATGACCCACTGGTGCATGCTCTAAACCTGATGTCATGACTTTCCCCTCACACCTCTTCCATCTGTGTCCTGTCTTCACTGCCTACCTGGCTGCCAGAAATGGGAGGATATCCTTGACCTTCCCTTCTCCATTTCCTTGTTTTTTAAAAAAAAATATATATATTTTTTAGTGTTTATTTTTGAGAGACAAGAGAGAGACAGAGTGCGAGTGGAGGAGGGTCAGAGAAAGAGAGGGAGACACAGAATCTGAAGCAGGCTCCAGGCTCCGAGCTGTCAGCACAGAGCCCAACGCGGGGCTCAGACTCACTGTGAGATCACGACCTGAGCAGAAGTTGGACGTTTAATCTCCTGAGCCACCCAGGCACCTGAAACACTTTCCACTTTCTAACGTCAACTATCCCATCCATTCTGCTTCCTACCTGCCCTTTCTTTGCTTCTGCTGTGATTACACCCATGGAACTCTCTCCTGGACTCCCTGGATCACCACTCCAAAACTTTCTTTTTTTTTTTCAGCGTTTATTCATTTTTGAGAGAGAGAGAGAGAGAGAGAGTTCGAGACAGGGGAGGGGCAGAGAGAGAGGGAGACACAGAACCTGAGGCAGGTTCCAGGCTCTGAGCTGTCAGCACAGAACCCAACGTGGGGCTCGAATCCACGAACCATGAGATCATGACCTGAGCCGAAGTTGGATGCTAAAGCAACTGAGCCACCTAGACGCCCCTATTTGTTTTTTTTTAATTTTAATTCCAGTGTAGTGTTATATCAGCTTTGGGTGTACAACATAGTGATTCAACAGTCCATTTATTAGTGTTCATCAAGT